TCTTTCCTGCCTATGCAGGGGGTCAGACTCAATGATCTATTGAGGTCCCTTCCAACCCTAACATCTGTGAATCTATGAACATGCAGAAGATCATTTGTGCTCAAACCTTGTCTAACCTCTCATCTAACTAGGTCTAATAAAATGTATTGCCAAAATAATCCTTGCTTAGGTTTCTGGGTGACAGTAGGTGCTCTCCAACAGCCTAATGTTATCCTGGTCAGCTTATTTCTAGTCTGCAGAAGAATAAATTCTTTCACTTTCCTATCAAGATTAGGAAATCAAAAGCATTCCCTAATTTGTAATCCAAATCTCCATTTTTCTCTTTCTGTAAAGGACCAGCCAGTACAAGTGATTTTAGGTGCACGTGTATATATGCATAAATCATTAAACAGGGAGAGGCTCGCTTAAAGCCAGTTGGTGACAGCACCTCTAACTTGTAAGCGAACAACAAAATTGTTACACATGCCAAGCTCTAGTGTCAGCCCACCACTGCTGACCATCCCAATCTCAGCTTTTTTTTTTTTTCAGACCACCAAATCAATCTGTCTTGCTCACTTAGGTTATTCAGTCCCAAACAGAATAAGTCATAGATTTCATAAACATTAGGGCTGGAAGGGACCTCGGAAGATCATTGAGTCTAGCCCCCTGCCCCAGGGGCAGGAAGTCAGCTGGGATCATAGGATCCCAGCAAGATAAGCATCCAATTTTCTCTTGAAGGTGTTCGACGTAGGTGCTTGAACCACCTCCTATGGCAGGCTGTTCTAGACCTTGGGGGCTCGAACAGTAAACAAATTCTTCCTTATGTCCAGCCTAAAATGGTCTTGCAGTAGTTTATCACCATTCAACCTCCTCATTCCTTGGGTCGCTCTGGTGAACAAATGTTCCCCCAGATACTGGTGGTCACCCCTGATATGCTTAGTATCATCAGATACTAGATCAGATCAGGTAGCCATCAGATCACCCCTGAGCCTGCACTTTTCCAGGCTAAAGAGTGGAAAATAAAGAGTTCCATAGCTAAAAAGTTCCATAGCTCTCAGCCTGTCATCGTAGGGTCTGCTTCCCTGACCTCTGATCATGCGCTTGGCTCTTCTCTGTACTCTCAAGCTTCTCCACATCCTTTTTGAAGTGTGGGGCCCAAAACTGGACGCAGTACTCCAGCTGCAGCCTCACTAAGGCCGAGTACAGGGGGAGAATGACGTCCCGGGATTTGCTTGAGAATCATCTATGGATGCAAGCCAGCTTTTTGCTCGCTTTACTAGCCGCTGCATCGCATTGCAGGCTCCTGTTCATCT